CGCCTTCTCTATCTTAAACTTGGAAAACATTGCCTAGAAAACTTTTTTTTCGACGATCTAAACACGAGCGAAATGGTTGTTGTCAAGTGACAATAGCGAAATGATTGTTGTCAAGCACGCGTCTCTATAACCATTTACCTCATTAGAATAACTAGAACTCAATGACCATTCATGACAACAAGAAAACAATGGTGTCAACTAAGCGCGAATTTCAAAGACGCTCAGCTGCACTCAAAACATGTTATACGCCGGTAACTTTTTTAAATAACCAATTCGGAGAACAAGCTGAATAGAGGTCTTCATTAGAACTTTATTCATGTTGTGCACAAGACCTGACAATGGTTAGCGGCACGCGCTTCTACATGGAAAGTAAAGTTTTTGTCAATTAATGGTTTGTTGACGATTAAGAGACAAAGACGATAAAACAATACACAACTAGCCACGAAAGCGTTCAAGTTATGAATACTTTAGTGGAACTAATGCAATGAAAGTGTTTGGTAACTAAATTCCCCAAGAATCCTGTCACCATTTCTTAGATTGACTAATTATAAACTTTAATATGTTTGGAAAGAGTAAAAATCGATTAGTTTGAATTGGGGGAGTAACAGCACTAATAGCGCAATTGTGTTTTTAAATAACACGAAAGGCGCTTTTGTTTTCTTATACTTAAAGACATTCAATAATTTTATCATGACAATTTAACCCTCCCAAGAGTTTACTGATATTTCGAACATAATTGATAGTGGCGGAAACTACGGCAGTTCGTCGCTGCAAGTAGGCTACTTTCCACGCAGCGTGTTTGGCTTACTAGCGGCTGGCCTATTGCAGAGCATTAAACAGACCAGAAAAAAAGGCTTATTTCTTCGCTTCACTTTTCTTTGCCGATGACTGGGTTTTACTTGCAGTTTATTTTTCGCTTTTTCATTTGTATTTTAAAATACACACCCTGGCAATTTAAGCGTGCGTTTCTGAACGTTGGCGTTCGCCGGTTTGCAACAAGAAAGAAATAACTTCTACAGCCCGCGCTTCATGTAACAAATTTTCCCTTCCGTACCCCGGAAAAATGTCGCTGTACTGAGCGACATTTCCCCTACCCCACCACGAGAAGGGTGATATTGTCAGCATCTGGTCGTCAGCGAAGATTTTGAATCTCGCGCTCGGAAATTGGCTGAGAGTCGGTTCTTTGTTCTAGAAACAATAGCGCCTTTCAAGCTGCAAACAATAAAAAATGCCCATAAACGGTGTGCCATTGTCCAAAAATTAAACACAAAGTCTGATAGGTTTAATCCTGGTTTAGCGTTAATGAACAACCCGGCACAGTTAATTGTGGTTGTCACAAGAATATGATCAGAAGATGTCAGACTGAAATGGGGAAACAAGATGCGTTGTTTAGACTTCGGCCATAATCTCAATAAACCATTGTACGGGAACGCTTGATTTCGTTTGGGGCAATCAGGTACCCACTACCCCACTCGTTTTATGGAGCCTTTATGACAGTCACTCCATGGAAAAAAAAAATGGATATTGATCGAACCAAGCTTGTTACTACGGATCGAATGAACAAGTGACAAGTTAATTCATTCACTACACGCTTTATTTAACAAAAAACGTTTGTGCCACTCACAACGGAGAAAAATAAGAAAAGATAAAAATTGCACCTCAAACATACAATCCATCGAGCACTTTAAAAACACACCAATATTATACAAGAATACTAGTGTACTGGCATACACGGTATGTGATTGTTACAGATGTTCCACGAATCATGCAATCAATTTTTTAGTGATTAACATACAATTCATGTGTATTATCATCAACTCCAACAGCTGTTGGGGACAGGGAGTGACTTCTTTTGTCACACGGGGGCTAACTCGTGTTTTTAGCCTCGTCCATGGAATACGAACATTATGCATTAGATACTCACAGATAATATCATTTATTTGACCAAGAAGAATACTCGAGGGGCAAACCATTTGTCTAAAGAACACAGTTGGTATGGGACTGAATGATGTTATTTTTCTCGCGAACCTTAGCATTCTGGAGAACCAAGAAGTTTTCCAGATCTTCTGTTGTTCTGTTTCTTTGTAAAATGATTTTTTTTTTTTAATTTGAACTTCCGCATTCTTCCCTATTCAAGTGCGAGTCTTGCCTATTGTAAGCCCTCTGCCTCTAGTCGGACCAGCCTTTAGTTCAAAAAGCAGCGTTCGGCGGATTCTTAGTAGGAGATTACACTGAAGAAATCGTTTTCATGCAACGAACTGTTCTGAGATTCTAGAGTAGACCACTTGTCAGTGACTGATGACAACATCTACGCGTCAGGATCTACAGCCATGTTGTTATTGGCACCTGCAACAAAAGAGACCCGTTAAATATTTGGACATTAGCAAACAATAAAGTTAGTTGCATGTAGCACAGGGACGCCTTACATCAGTGTTGCAATCAAGATACTAAGTTTTAGCTTCTTAAGCTTATCATAAAATCTAGCTGTCTGCGGAAAGCGAAAAACATTGCTCGAAAAATGAACCATTGAGGCTGGAAGCTGAGTTCAACGGGCTTTACTCCTCTTAAATAGGAAAGTCGGATTTAGCAACTTAACGACCCTTATAAAAAGAGCCGAAGTGAACGTTGACTAAAAAAAACTCGAGTTGAATGTACGTATGTAAATTATTTCAGTTGATAATTCAATGTTTATAATATTAAGCTAATTTAAAATAACGGGCTGAATAACTACTTACTACGATGATCCTTGCTGGGCTTAGTAACGAAACGCCCGCGTTCATTCATTTCCAGGTCTTCCTGTGCTTCAGGTGTGGCTGCTGGTGAGATCTTTCCCCCGCCTGTCTTTTTCTTGAAGCAATACACAGCGACGGCGATGATGACGATCAATGCCACTCCGCCACACACACAGGCAATGATGATTACATTCGTTTCACTCAAGCCGCTTGATTCAGTTGCAGTGCCCGCTACAGTGGGGGCAGCAGTAGTAGTAGTAGTGGCCACAGTTGATGGCGTGAACGCTACAGACGCGAACGATGATGGGTCCGCAGAGAGAACTATCCCTCCCGGTACGGTCACGTTTAAGTCACCAGACTTGATTTTGGTCTCGAGTTGGGAGACCGCAGTTTCAAGGCTGGCAGTACTCTGATCTTTTGCGGGAACCACAACAAATGACACCACGATGCTGCCTTCTTTTAGGTCCAAGTCCTGTACGCTGCATTCGTCCATACCAAGTGCGCTTGATATCTCTTGTAGAAGAGACTTTGTGACGGCAGCCTTTTGGCTGTCGTTTGAAATAACGCTGCTGTAGGACTGATTGAAGGTAAAGGTAACATTAATGCCTTTGCTTATTGGTTCAAGGTCGCAGGCTTGGGTTGGAGCTTCAGTTGCCGCAGTAGTAGGAGGAGGTTCGGTGGTAGCTGGACCAATAAACACGGTGAGATATCCCAGCTGCGTACAGTTACATTCCACATAAGTCACATTACCAGACACCAACGCGCTTTGAGTTGATACACATCCGGTGTTCGTCCAGTTTGCTTCACCTGAGCTCCATAGTTTGCACTGGAGAGAACCACAAAAAAAATATCCTTTTAGGTTTTTCTTTAATATGCACACTTCGAGAGGTTGAGCAGTTGAAACCGTCAATAGATCTATGTATTTAGGATCATGAGATCTTTAGTTAGCTTTGAGAAATCTCATGCATCATTCAGTGATCAATTAGAAGGTAAATCTTTTAGTCAGATAGGTGATTTGATTCCCACCACATTTCCCGAGGGTTTTCCAGCTCTGACTAGTTAATCAAACTGTATGTAGCAGGAGTGATAAGTCGTGAGAACGTGGTACACATTGGGAACACGCAAAAGCAGTTCAATAAAATGCGCCCTCTCAATTTGGAATCACCGTTCTTCGCGCTCGTTTGTCTGGAGAAGCTCGTGAAAGAGGATGTCGGTTCAAAACCCACCTCAACGTAACTCTCATTCGGGAATGTCTTGCCTGACTTCAGCGGTATCAAGAAGTTGACGGGACTTTCCAAGGTTCCTGTGTTAATCAGTCGCTTGGTTACCGGGTTATACAGCTTGATATCCACGATGTCAGTCAGACGGCTGGAGTCACTCTCGTTCAGTAACAGGTCGTTAGGGAACTGACGGAGAAAAAAAACAGATGTAATTGTCTAAGATGTAAGATTTTGTAAAATGGGACGAGGAAGGAAACACTTTGGCCACATTATTGATGACTGCCCTAAATTTTTCTTTGAAAAGATAGCTTCGGCGCGTTAACTTTCGCGAAACCTTAAACGGCTCGGTAAAGTGCACAAAATATAATCTTCGCGAAAATAAGGCCATTGAGCAATACTTGTTCATGACTGTTGCGAAATCAGCGGATTTTCTGCCATTAGCAGAAGCTCACAACACTGATCAGCAAATTATTCACCTGAGTTGATAGAAGGCAGGCTCCACTACAAGTTTCTTCTGTCGCGCAGCGCCACTTTTTGTAATCATCATGCAGAGACTCTCCTAGCGTCATCTTAGCAGTATGAGCCACGACTGAAGTGCAATCGGAACATGCCATATCGATTGTAGTACTAGCTATGCCATCAAAATTCGTTGTAACTGCACGCATCGCCATCTGGGATGCCACGGCGAACACAGCAGGGGCGCCAACGCCTCGGCCAGCGCACACCTGAAGTCCGATTGAGTCGACAAGATATAAGAAGTCTTTCTTCCGGGTAAATTCTGATTCAGTGTAGACAGCTGGGGCGATCAGATTTGACACAGGTATCAAACTTTTTTCAGCCTGTAAAGAAACGAGACGGTAAGGAAAATCAGTTAAGAAAGGATGGACATAAAACTCATTATATTACTGTTTGAAGTAAAAGCCATCTATGGTTGATCACCCTTGAACAGTTACAAAGTGGTGTATTTGTTGTGGTTCACATTTGTTATTATTGAAAATACTTTCATATCAGTTTTGACTTTGTTTAGAACACAATTTGCAACAAAGGCAAATAACGAAAAACCTGGTTTGAAGATTTTCACCCAAAACATGAATACACACGAACACTACGGACACTTCTACACCTAATCAACAATTAAATATGATCCTTACATCAGTAGCAAGTAATGGCTCGACGACTAAAATTTCAGGTTCAACAGCTCTACGCCTCCTGCGAAGTTGTCGGGCAAGCTTTCGAAGCTTGAGAACAGCATTAATCATGTTGTTTTTGGTTGCGTCTTCGAACGAATCGGCGCCGCCATTTGTAGTTGTACCCAATGTAATCAAGGCATTCCTTTCACCATCTCTATTACCTTCCACTGCCTCCAGTGCGCTGACCGCCTGGCAAGAGAAATCACTAGATATCAGTTCTAAACTGCTACAAAGAGGAAGGAAAGCTTCAGATCTAGACCTTAAGCTGGCTACATACTGCAACCAAACACTAAGCACGTGACTGACTGACAGGATATTAGTTTTATTCGGGTTGGTTCAAGAAAGCTGCAGAAGTTTCCTACGTTGGCAAAAAGCGTGTCTCTTTTTTTTCTTGTCTCATTCTTTGTTTAGGATCAAAGTATGAAAGTCAACGGAGTTTTGAGGGAGGAACATTTCTAGTCATTAGCAAGAAACTGGCATGATAGAGCTTCTAGCTAAACAAAGAAAACACGGAAACTTTTTGTAATTCGTCAAAAATAAAATGTAGTTTTCAGTCCTTAGTTTTAGCGGAACTCCGGAGCCCCATACTCATATAGGAAAGAAAAGGAAACCCATGAGTTGAATTTCTCATGGTTATCATGGCTAGCGGTATTGCTCGTGGGCGCGTACGCACGACGGCGACGACGGAGTCACACAACATGGCGGCCATACTTCAAATAATCATAACAATTACAATTTCCTTAAATGTGATAGTTACTGTCAAGTGTTGCCCTGGGGTGGGGGTATACGGTCCGCTTCCCAAAACTCTTACCCTATTTACGACCAAAATCTGCGATTTTCCCTACCCTATTTATGACCTAACCAAAATTCGATACACTATTTATGACCTGACCCTTAAATCAATACCCTGTTTCAGACCTGCCATATAATTAGTTCCCTAGTTCAGACCAATGTTAAATTGCCGCAAACATAATTTGTGAAGGGCTTTTGTTGATGGTCTTATATCGATATTGGTGAAAAGTAGCTTCTTCTTGAAAAACATACCTAATTCAAGACTAGAGTGCAAAAACATACCCTATTAAGGACCAAAAAGGCCAAAATCGCTACTCTATTTCTAATCAAAACGTCTGAAAACCATACCCTTTGGGGCCACATACCTATATAGCCCATTAAGGGAGCACCCCCCAGCAAGTGTTACCCACTGTAAACAGTGTTTACCTTACTTTACTTCAATGATCAGACACAGTGGCAAATAAGAGACAGTGTTCTTTTTGCAGACGACACGAGGTATACGTGAAAGCTTACCACGGAAGTATAGAGCTCTTTAAGTTGATTGACGGCTTCTTTCTCATCATCGCTTCCGCCGGTTTCCCTGACAGCTTCCAAGATGATGTTCATTTGGCCTACAACAAAAACGTCAAATACCGCTCACCATTTTTTGTCATTCCCGTTTTAATTCTGCATAACTTGGCTGCCTTAGGATTCATAACTTTTATGTTCATTATAAAATTTCAGATTCACAGCCCAAGTTGCAAACTAGCTGTAAACAAATTGTAAATTTTCCAATTCCCAAGGATTTCATCACGACTGTCGAGGGGGACGGACACCTGTCTATTTCCGACAATGAACCAAGCGCGCAGTTTATGCCACCAAAGTTGCTAAGCAACACGGCTTATCAATGTATTCCATCGAGCTCAGTTGACATGGAATATTCGGAAGACTAAGAGTTCGTTTTAGTTTTTGATTGGATGACAAGAATCGGGAACTCTTCGAGGAATTTACGACGATTTGCCAAACATGGCACTGGTGCCTAGGATTCAATCAATGACTGCGAAATTATTCATATTGCATGATGATGCGAAATCTCACTGGTTTTATTGTAAGTTGTGTTCTTGAAAGTACGTTTAAAATTATCTTTAGTAGTTTCACAGTGATGTCCTTCGTTTTGACATGCTCCGAATAAAATAAAATTAGCCAAACTCTCGCATGTAAACAAAAACAACGGTGTGGCTGACTAGGGCCCTTTAAGACTGACAGAAAACTTGATGTAACACTAGACTGAAGTGATATCACAGAGGAGCCACATACCTAACTGATCATCCACGTCCCCGCCCTCTTGAAGCGCCTCTCCGGACGTTTTTAAGTCTTGCAGATCGGACAGACTGAACACTTTAGGGTTAACAGTCACGGTCTCCTCCACCGTTACGAAAGCACCCCGCTTATCGAAAGCCTCCACAAAAACGCGAACTGTGTTGTTCTTTGCACTATCGCCTGTCGTCCCAAACAGATACAAAAACAATGTTAGAACTTGAAAAAATTATCTGAACTTTAATAACTGCAGGATTAGCCGTCAATTTTATTTTTCCCAAGTCATCAAAAAAGTTCAGATATTAGATTCATCGCTAAGCCACAAAATAAAGTCTCCAGCCTTCCTTTACACTAAACATTAAATCTTGGCAACCAGTGTTTGGTATTCACCCAATGCTCTTAGCCTCCACATAAGCGTTACGTGACGATCCAGGTAACAGAACTTAAGGCGGGGGTCCACCTGAATTCGAGTGAAATTTTAGGAAGTTTAAAGAGGAAAAAAAAAGGTTATGGAACACCACCAGACAGTTGAACGCCCCCGAAAGGGCGCCCCAGGTTGGTGGACAACTGTTTGGTGTACGTCTACCAATTTTTAACTTCAAATTCTAATTTTAAAACAACACCAAATATTCAAAATTTCCTATTTCCATAAATTTTGCTAATCCTTTGAGGAAACTATTTATCTCCAAATATACCTAAAAATCACCCAAAAATTTGCAAAACAGCCCAAGACATAGATATGTGAGATGAGCAGAGAGATTCTTGACTGCTTGAAACGTGAACCAGATATTTGCGTTAAAACCATAATACCCAGCCAAAATACGGCCCTCATGTAGAACCCCGCCCTAAGGTAAACCCAGAAAGGTTGGATTGCGTGCTTGTCGGTGAAACAAACCTTGTGCCAATGTTACACGTTTACGTTGCCGGGCATTCTGAAGGCCCAAGTATCTTTTAACTTCTTTACCATCCTCTATCGCATAAAAACCAAACTTGTACTTCAAGGGATAATCAGCTAAATCGTCGGTAAAAAGACCTGCTCTGAGTGTGAACTGGGTGTCAACAGCAGTACCACTCGAGGGACTCACTGTTAAAGTACCTGGCAAAAACACAAACAAAAACACATTAAAACAGCTTATCTCTCTTTAGCAAATCGCTTCACTACATCAATCACACAGGAAAAGGATCGTCAGCTTGAAAACTGGAACCAAAATTTGTCAAGTTCTCCTCTGAGTCTCTCTCAACCATCCTTTGTTCTTTTCATTTGTTAATTGGTTTGATGTTTGTCTACTTCTATCGTTCGATTTGAAGGTGAGTAATTTATTAACCAGGTCTGAGGAGACCCCTTACCTGGAAATGGAGCGGCGTTAATAGTGAATGTCGTCTCGGAGGACGAAGTGCACGCGGTTGTCTTAGCTGAAACTTTGAACCTGTAATCTCCCGGCTGCAACTTGTTTCTTTTAAAGGAAAATCCAAAACGTTTCATCAATGGAACATTTTCACTCTCAAAACTTTCTCCAGTTACCAGCTTACTGTTTGCAGCAACTGACGACAGATCGGAGACATACGTCAAACCTGCAAAAAAAGGTAAAACTCAGCTTAAGCTTGTGCTCATCTCAAAACCTGTGTACTTCACCTCATTTCTAAACTAAAAATACAGTTGTCACTGCATATGGAGGCACAGAAAATTACTTCGTGAACCGTATGTCATTGCTTAATCAGTAGATGTGTATTCCATTGATTCACTACCTGCTTGTAACATGGTTTGTCTCTTCAAACAGTAATCAAATGTCAACAACCCGCGTTCGCAATCTTGATTCAAAGAAATGCTTGTGACGCAATCCTTGGATAAGAGAGGCTATGTAACATGTGAGGAAACGGTTTGTAACAGAGCCTTGATCACGATACATACCATTCCCTGACACAAATGAATATTCCAGATACACTTTGAGTGCCACCGCTGCCACTTGACCCGTGATCATTATTTCGTCTTCAGTGTTGAACTTGCCAGACTTCAAAGCATCGATGGTGACCTTTGGAGGGGAGCAGGCTAGAACTTGAACTTTGACTTCCGCTTCGGATGAACGGAAACCTTTCCGGTACGTCAAACGAAAGTCATAGCTGTAAGTTTTCAAAAAAAAAACATAGAGATCAGAGACAGTCAACCTTGTTCCCCTATAGCCAAGAATTTGTGATGTTTTATTGACGTTTTATGATGTTTTGATGTTTTGCTAGCAAAGTGAACTACTACGTGGAAGTAGAGTAACATCTCTCCTTCACAAGTCACATTGTTAGAGGGAGTGGGGAGGAAGCGCTGATCATACATTACTTTCCATTTGAAGGCTTTCGGGGGTATGATTATTTACTTTCTTGATAGTTCACTGCCATTTTAAAGCAGGTTTCAATGCCATAACGATAAACCTTGTAAATAAAGAAAAGAACTCCAAGACCTCGTTCAAGTCTCTTCTTCCCCCAGGGGGAGGGGGCCGGAAGAAGAGGGCTCCTCGAAACCAGGTTATCGGTTAAGCTCCGTAAATGTCATTTGCCACAACTTAGGAGTAATCGAGAGATTTTCATTTGATTGGGTAATAACATATAGATTTAGGCCAGCCTAAAAGCGTAGCTCCTGGGCCGGGTTGTTCAAAGCCCGATTAAGCTAACCCAGAAAAAGGTAGAATTTTGATTTGAGTTTTGTAACTTTGCGGTGAGGTTTTCTGTATATTGTTTGGCCTTGTGTTTTGAGTTTTAATAATCACCATATAAACAAAACAGCAAAAAACATTTGTATAGAAGAAAAAGTTATAATTCGGTTAACTTTTAATCCTGGGTTAGCGTTAACCGGCTTCCGAACAATCCTGCCCTAATTCCAACAAGTTAACCTAATATGAGCCCGCGATCCAATCGATAACCAGCACTTGGTCAGCGGTCAACTTCAAAAAAACACGTGAGCTGTAAACTTGAGCCCGCGATATGGTCACGTGATACTGGTTAGCGGATACCTTGTTTTAACAGGTGTCAATTGATCATAACATGGATATCCAATATCAAGGAAGTACACGGTAAACCAAGCCTGCATTTCTCTGTCAACCTATTATTTGGAGTATGGCCGCCATGTTGGGCAACTCCGCCGTCGTCGTCGTGCGTACGCGCCCACGAGCAATACCGCTAGCCATGATAACCATGAGAAAATCAACTCATGGGTTTCCTTTTCTTTCCTATATGAGTATGGGGCTCCGCTTGGCGGCCCTTCGGGCCGCCGGAGCTCCGCTATAAAAGAGTCGTCGCCAATAAAAGCACTGATTAACATTGATTGCAACAGAGTACAACACAATCACAAGGTTAAACCAACACTTACGTTTGGCCACTTTCCAAAAATGTTGCAACACTTTTGTTGATTTTTGCAGTCTTTTCGAAGGTTACACGTTCATTGTCAAAGAAGCAATCAAACCCAGAGCTGTCAAAACAAGCCCACAGATACACGGCTTCATCACTGCTTTCATCCGGGTCTTCCGAGCCGCTTGCATCCAGTACTAAGTAATCTCCGTAACCAACATCAAAGGAGACCCCACCTGGCAGAAAAACAATGGGATTCACTCAGGGTTTGTGGAAGTCAATGACTGGTATTTACAATAACACCTGGTATAATTATACCTTATTAACTCTACATTCAAGTGAATTAAAGCCTAAAGTAACAGTTGTCTCACGCCCTAGGCCTAACCCCCCGGCAAGAAAAACTCAGGGGTAAGACTGGCGGCGGGAGACAGCTGACATTTCGAGCTCAGTGACAAAATAACTCGCAATGAAATTCTTCAAGATTGTTCTCATACCTTTAACACGAGCAATCAATTCACTGGACTGCACATCAATTTCGATGCTTTCCGAGGCTTGAATAGAAGGATCCTTTGCATCAAACACTTTCACAGACAGAGTATAACTCTAAAACAAACCAACAACCAAAGCAACGAATTAAACTTGTAAAGGCAATGACTAATTTCACTTTATATTTATTGGCAGTTTAAAGAAATTTTACTTTGATTTTGAGGAATCAATCTGAGTTTATAAATTAATGAATATCAACGCTAAAAAAAAACGGCGTTTCGATGTAATCTTGACGCAATATATCAAACACGAAAGACCGTGTTTGACCACATTTCTAAACACGGAGAAGAGAGTTGAAAATACTACGCGCTGTGGAGTATTTTTGACGAACTTCGAGGTGTTTGGAAATGTGGCCAAACACTGTCTTGAGTGTTTGATATATCTTCTCAATCGAAACTAAAGCCAAGGAGAAAACGGAGAAATAAAATCGTAAAACACTATGCTAATTAAGATCAGATATCCAAACACCGCCACGGGCATGATTTCCTTTGTTTAAACTTGATGAATTATTGATGACTGCGAAATCGAAGTTCTTACTCGCTCGTCCAAAAATGGCGCAATTGGTCAAAACACCCTTTATAGTTTTTCGTCTAGCGCGCTTAACTTTCACGGGCCAAACTAGCCATTTAAATATGGTATACCAATAGCATAGCTCTTTCTTTAGAACCTTTTATTTGTCAAGAGATTTGTATACTAGAAGAGTTATGACCCTCTAAAATCGGTAAAATTTTACACGTAAATTAAATTGCGATAGTTGTATTTTTCAAACGGCCGAGAAGTAGACAAAAAGTATTTACTTCAAGATGACTGCTAGCTCAGAAGAATGATCAATGTGTAAATTACAAACTGTGTGAATATACAATCCAGGCAAGTTCCCTTCTTTCTGTACTGGCCTGTTGAAAATGTGCAATATTTCATAAATTCCATCGGCCATTTTGGTTGATTGTGCGGTATTTCGAACTTTCCTAGATTTCACAAAAATGTGAAATCGCTGGAACTTTGAAAGTATACTTCTGAAAATAGTTCATCAAAAGGGTCTTTTTGACGCAATAAAAGAAAATCCGAATTTTCCGACCTGTCGTCGGATTCTCCATATTTACAGGCAATGGCTCTTAATATTCAAGGAGTTTGTCTGTTAGGAGTTGTCACTTCGACGGCATCTCCGCTTTTGATCACTTCATTTGGGAAATTTTGTTTCAGTAAATTTCCGTGCTTTTATTTGCTACGTTTATTGTGTTAATAACTATCCTAAGGCAATTTATGTCTGATCAATAAACGAGATGCCCCCTCCTATATGACTGGTGTTTTCTTACTTATACTAAGTTAGAAATTATTTTGTTTTCGTTTCACCGCAAAGTGATTAGACAACAAAAGTAAGTGTGTTTACGTGTTGTTTCCGGGTTTAACAGTCATTACATGTTTCCACGCGCTTGGCGCGGGTGGCATGTTGTGGTTTCGAGCTCTGAATGTGTTATCGTTATTTTTCTCCTTCTGTTTTTCCGTTTTCTGTTCTTTTTTGAGTCGGGAAGGGAGGGTTGGCAGATCAAGTGATAGTAAGTACATTTAATCTGCGGGTTTTGAGTTTTAAACACCTGTCTTGAGGGGACTGCTCATATCAATAATCTCTTTCATTGCTTTCATTTCAGTAACGGAAATTAAAAAATCATCATTTCTGGTGTTTATGCCCAAAACTGTTGAAGACTCCATATGCGACAATGTCACTTCTGGTTTTCGCGCAGGAATATTTTAGACGCCTTAACAAAACACTGAGGGATTGGGTAATAGACGAGAGGTAGCTTTCCTTTAGTGGAAGCAGTGCCGCTAAATGTATGTTATTCTATAACTGGAAGGTTTACCAACCTCGCCGCCATTCAAGTTACTTCCATCTAACTTAAGATAAGGTCTTCTCAAGTCAGTGTCGGGACCAAGGTCGACTACCTCATCAGACGAGTCCTTCAGCTCCCACACATATAAGAAATTGAGCTCTGAATCTGATCCATTACACCCAGGCAAGGTAACTTTGGCTGTTAAGAACAAAAGGAGATCAAACTAAATTAATCAAACAATCAAACAATCAGACAAAGTGCATACAAGACTGCCTTGTCTCTAAGAACTCCCAGTATGTTCCAGACACACTCTTTACCATCAATTTTTGCCATTGTTTACCTTTGTATGACCGATTGTCTTTTACCACATTTATTTAGACGCGAATTGTATTATATGTAAGTAACAAAAGCAGGATGCAAAGCAACCATTTAGTTCAAGCAGACGCTGAATGTTTATTGTGGTCAAAAGGTCGCCCTTGCTTCTCAGGACACTGGAAGACTCTCTAACCACAGGTTACCCAATTAAACAAATCATAAAAGGTAAAGTAAACTTACCGCGGGGAAAGAGTCTCTGGGAGCGCAGGATACTTTCACCTGTTGAACTCAACTCCACTTCTGGGACTGCTTCTGCCTTTCGCGTTACGGCTAAAGTGGCTTCTGTGCTCTCTCCGAGGAAGTTACTAACTTCGACCACAATTTCATATTCAACATCCCTGACTATGCGATCACTTCCAATAGTAATGTAAGGTGAAAATGACTGAAGAGCAGTCAGAGTTGAATTGAGGGCTTCCATGTCAGTTGCAGTCGCGTTTGACACGCCGACTTTCTCTTTTACATACCACTTAAAACTCATTTTACGGCCTCCATCATTTTTCGAGAGTGTATTGATTTCCAAACTAGCACATGGTCCTGAATAAAAAACAATGGTGGAGTGACTTCATTTGAAATTTACATTGCTTGATTCTTTACACATGCCAAGTGCGTTCATACTGATTACGGGTAACCAATAAATCTCACCTGTATCAGGGATACGGTTAAAGAAACCTATCAAATGTAAGCCCCATCACTGGTCGGAAAGTTACTACTCACCTATTATAGTTGGTGCAAGAATTTCGATGACTGGTACTGGAGGGTTCGGAGGGGATCCTACTGTAAGTGTGGTGTTCCCAGACTCAAACTTGGTGTTTTCTTCTCCTCGAGCAGCTAAACTGCCGTTTTTGAAGTTTATTGTGTCGCCAGGTGCAACGGTGGCACCAGAGCCAATTAATTTAATAATCATTTTTTTGCTTGTGAGCAGGGCACATTTGGTTTCGCTTGTGAACTTGCCCAGCGTTGCTCGGTCAAAAAAGTCAGAACAACCCAAATCAGGGTCTTCTGTTATATATTCTGCTGGCTTGTCGAAAGTTAACAAAAGTTTGCTGGGATTGTCTTTAAATCGTAAGGACAGAGCCTGCGGCTGGATAGCATAGAATGAGAACTCCACGCTGGAGTCAACGGCAGGATCGTTCTCTCCAAAGACCAATGAAACGTTGAACAAAGCAGAATTGGCAGTGGTACGGAATAGGCAGGTTGCTTCAGTAGCACTCACAAAAGAACCACGTCCAAGCTTGGTGGAAGATCCAACCTTCACACATGCAATATAACCAGTGTCAACAAATCCAGTCCCAGTGATGGTAACATTGAAGCTTGCACTTTTTATCTCAGCTTCGCTTGGTGAAATGCTTGACAGAGAAATGGTTGATCTGTTGTAAACTGTAAAGACAGCTTCCTCAGTTTCAACGACGAGACTGTTAGAGAACGTACAGAGAATGCTGTACGTTCCTGCAGGCAAGTCTGTTGGTGCAGTCACTCTGATAATATTTGAAGTATGATCGTTGGATGAGGAACTATGTCTGCAAAAACAAAAAAACATACAATGTATTTTTATTTCTTAAGTCCTTTCTTGCAAGGAATTATTGCCCAAGCCATTAATAATTGTCTCTCCTGTGCTTCAGTGCCGCGCAATCACTTTCGTTTGTACTAGGAAAACAAATTACTTTCAGCCAGACAAAGTCGCTCAGTTCTATATGCACTGTTACCTCCCTAGGGCTATTCACCAACAATATTCGAAATAACTGCTTCACGAGTATTTCTCTTTGAACTCTGACAGTGAATGTCCTGTTTCAACTTGTCTGACTTATCCTGAGACTTAATCACAAATTTTCATGTATTTGTTTAACAAAAGGGATATTGGACGAGCTCCACCAAATCAGCACAGCGTCAAAGTAACACGAGGAGGTAGCACTAGATAACAGTAACATGCAGATCGCATTCAACAACATATCAAACAAACATAAAATCTTAAAACGTATGTGAATATATCAATGACAAGTTCTTACTTTTCAGTTGAGACGGAATTGTTAAACTGACAGCCGCGCAAAGCTAATTTCTGGTAGCCAGCGCCCTTTAGCGTTACGACAGTCGCCGCACCAGCCTCCCCGCTAACGGGCTTTAACTCTCCAAATGATGAACAACCAGTGTTGAATGCAGCATCCGTTTCTAAACGGCAAACGTCGCAGAAGTCTGGTATTGATTTTCCGTTAGGAACACCAGCACAGTCTTCACAGGTAGTGTTGTCTCCATTACACAGACCACAAAGATCTTTTCCAAGGTTCTTTGGTATTCCTGATTTGCCACCGGCGCAGTTACCGCATCTAAATCACATCAAATAATGACAATGTAATGACTCGCTGTGATATGTTCATTCCTGTGTTTCTAATATTGTCCTTTTTTAAATTCATTCGTCGCAGGTTCGATTGAATTCGCGTGGAAAGATAAAAGGAGTTATTGTCGTGTGCGATATCAGCGTTTACTGGGGGGTGGGAAGAATGCGGGAAACATAAGAGTTGTTTGATCAGGTATCGGGTATTGTAAGCTGGATTAATGGCAAAATGTCCCGACCAACCACATAAGACGACGACTGAAACAAGATGGCTAGAATACAGAGGTTTATGACCTCAAATGAAAGCCATTTAAGAAAAAAGGGCCTTACTCCATGACAATGTCGCTTGTTCTAAATTCACCACATGCCTCGCTTATGGAAATTCGTTTTAAACCTCTAGCATATGTGTGACAGAGTGTGGGTATTCTTTACAGACATCTTTGCTGCTGTAATAAGTGGCTATTATTTTTTTAAAAGAAAAAAATCGCAAATCTGACCTTCGCAAGCGTTAAGGTTGAAATAAGTTACACTCTTTCTTTTTTATACGAACATATTTTATAACTAGAATATCGAAGTTGAAATTTGCGAAATTTTAAGAATATTTTAGGAATAAACTCGAGGCTAAGATTTTGAAAAGAAATTACATAATTTTGTGTATTGAAAGTTTAGAAATACAATAAAATTATTTCTTTCTCTAGACGGCAAAACTAGCCAAAAATGAACAAAAACGGCATTGTCTAGTAAATTTCTGCAAGAGGTTATGTGTGTGGCATCAGGCTTTAATGCCTGCAGGCTGGCTCCAAAATTAATTTAATACCATCCAGACACCAAATACATTTGAAAACAGAAATGTAATACGCGATAATCTAAGAATATTCGCAATAATATTTCAGCCTAAAATTGGCACAAAAATAAGAATATTCACCCTCGGCCAAAAAAAAACAATATTCTTATAGAAAAAAATTCGTGCAGTTTCATAACTATTATAAATAATGAATCTAATGAAAATGTCTGCGTAGGAGCCTAATAAGAGAACTATCTTTCAAAAAAATTTCGAAGTAATATATCAAACATGAGAGACAGTGTTTCATTGGGATATCCAAGCACCGAGAAGAGAGTTGAAAATACGACGCGGAGTATTTTTGACGAAATTCGAGGTGTTTGGATAGCCGATGAAACACTGTCTCGAGTGTTTGATATATCTTCTCAATCGAAACAAAAACTAAGGAGTAAACGGAGAATAAAATCGTCAAAATCTAAACCTTCTTCACGGTTTTGATTTTCTTTGTTCTGACTTGATGAATTATTAATGAGTTTGAGAACTACTGAAGAAAACCCTCTTAATTCCTGTCTCCTAAGATATTAGTGGCTGAGAAACTCATCATATTTCATGCGTTGGGTCTAGAGATATTTGAGTAGCTCTTTATTCCTACTTACGTGTTTATTTTTGCTCCTCCAAAACACGTGCCAGTACAGTCAGTAAAATTCTGAATTTTGTGTTTATTCATGCATCTTCCGCAAGTCAAGACCGAGTCATTAATGTTCTTGTCACAATCCCCTGCACAGTCAACGTCGTGTGTCAGAGTTAAATTGGTAGTTCCACCAACACAATAACCACATTGATCTGTAAACACAGCAAAAAAGCAACACATTTACATTGCGCTTTTGGTCACTAATCGTATCTTTTTTAATCGCAACTTTACCTTATGATAATAGGCAAGTATCATTTTGTTAACAATTGTAGCACAGCAAACCGTTTGGTTTACGATATCTTCTCAGGAATACACGTTTTCAGTTAATACGAGCAAACACAGCAGACCTATAAGAATGTGTATAGGTAAAAACAACTTACTTATTGTAGCATTTGAATAAGGCACACTGTCGCATGCGACACATTCATCCTTTCCTCTGCAAACACCACATCGATCATTCCTTGCAGGAAAGTCTGTTCTATTGTCACAACCTCGGCGCAGAAGCAGGAAATTGACAAATTTCTTACTAATTGACGTGCCATTATCCTCAATACTTTTATCGTGCACCCCCGGATTCCTGTTGTCTGTCATATCCCAGGCTTTGATTGCAATATAAGCTCCCTTCTCAAATGCTTCTGCAGTGCTCCAGAAGACATCCTGGTTGTAGAGTTGCATGGTAATCCTACAGTATAAAATGGTGATCTCATAAATCGTTGACTGATTAGCTACCTTGGGATTGAGTGCAAATAGCGCTTAAAACCAAATATGTTCCTATTTAGTCCTCCTGCTAAAGGGTGTGACAACAAACCCAGTACGGGAAGGAAGATAAATACTTTCAGGGGTTTGTTGTTTTTGCCACGGATTATTAATACCAAGAATTACCGTAGTCTCAGGTTGCTAAACATCTTGTTAGTTTTATCAAAGTGTAAGATGTGTTATTTGTTTGTCGTCATACGACACCAAAATCTCTGAGAGCTACAAGTATCATTAAAACAAAGAAAGATAATTCATGATGTGATTTTTTGATATACCTAGCTTTAGGTGGGAGAAGCAGAACTTCAGAATCACTGGAAAAATTGAAGTCTGTATAAGCCAAGGAGTCATTCATCTTGTACTGCCACTTTCCAAAGGAGCTATTCCCTAGAGAAATAACGGCAGCTCCAAAATCCATATTTTCGTCATCAACGTCTTCTGCCAGTTCAGCAAGGATATCCTTGACCACAGAACCAGTGTATGCTGTTGCATTTAGGTCAAACGGAAGCGGGACAAGATTGCCTCTGTTCCTTTTAACCTTTGGCTTGTCATTCACTGCTGTAACCGATATTCGTACCCTGATAACATTTCCAATGTACATAATGTCTCCCCTTTCACTGACTTCAACACGCTTTAGGTTGGAATTGATCTGTGTGAAAAGCACATTAAAATGTTGACCAACACATAGAATCCACTTCACATTCTAATCGGTAATCATAATTTGGCCCTTCATTAGTTTTCAAATCTGAGCTTTGCTTAATGATCAGGCAGAGTTTCTGTAATGCTACAGGCATAGCAGGAAGTCACAAGTATTGAAATGCATTGAGTAACTTACCTGTGAGAAAGGGTCATCATCACCCAAATCTACAGGATAACCTGAGGAAGTTTAAGTACAGTTCAATGAGATACCTCAATGTCACATAACCATGGCCAGAAAAAATGTAAAAAGAAAACAGTCAGCTATAACATAGCGTATTTAATTACAACATTAATTATGATATCAGGAAAGTTCTTCACCTATCTTTTGCTGAATTTTGAAACGTTGTTATACAGTGGAACAATGCTTGATGGGCACAGCTTACTTTGACAGTTTATCAGTGAAAAACTCAACTAGAGACAATGAAAGCTCTCCTTTAAGCTCTCATACAAAGTTAACCGTGATTTACAGGCACTAGTTCACTGTATATTGAGTTCACTTGTTTTACATGTAGTTTGCGCTCCTCAAACTGTTCCACTGGAGCAAAATATAAGACCGTAAGACTAGTCCAATTTAACATTTTTTCAACCTTTCCTCATCTCCACCCAAGTGTACAAATGGGTTCTAGTCACTTAATGTTAAAGAAACTGCGATTTACTCCAGCTGTATGGAGTGTGAAGTCTTGGCTGGATGTAGACTTTACCATGCTCATCTCTTGGTTAATTATGCAATGCCATAGAACCTTACATTTTGTCTGGATTGAATCATAGTTGGCAGCTGTTTCTACAGCAGAAATTGCTGGGGAATACACAATAAATAAAAACATTGAGAGAGGAAGCAACATCAGCCTTAGTTAGTTTTCATGCAGGTCCTCTATCCTGGTCGAATTGGAATTTGTAGATGTTGCCTTTTGTGGAGAGAGGAAAACTGCAGGAGTACCTGGAGAAAAACCCTCAGAGTGACAACCAACAACAAACTCAATGCACTTATGACACCAGGCCAGAATCAATCCCAGGCCACATTGGTGTTAGAGGGCACTGCCATCACTGGGCCATGATCTCTGTTCCTCCAGGGAGGTCAGGTTGGTAACTAAATCAAACTTACTTGTATTTATGACCTCTTCAGTATCCTTGACAAGCTGTGCAACTTTTTGGCTTGATAGCACTGGATTTTTAAGTTTGCTAGCAACGTCCCGGATGTTACTGACAGCAGGCTTTAAGTTATCTGTCAAGATCCCATAAAGGACTTCCTTGACCAAACGTAATTTTTCTGGATCATCTCCCTTTGAAAAAACAGTGGAAAATCATGATATGTAAGTGTGTACATGTAAGTAAATTTTCACAAACATAAGATCAAGTGACCAAGCAAGTAAGGATTTGCTTAGAAAGGAAGCAGGCAGGCAGGTATTAAATAGGTAGGTAGGCAGGCTGACAGGAAGGTAGGTTGCTAGGTACAGTAGGTAGGTAAGTTGGTACGCAAGAGGGTAGGTGAGTGGTTGGGTGGGTAGTTGGGTGGATGGTCAGGTAGGTCGGCAGACAAGCAGGCAGTGGACAGGTATGTAGGTACACGTGTACAATCTGTAGGTGTTCAATCTAAACCTCATGTCATTTGTCTGTCTCAGGGAAGGGGGAATAAGGTAAGGCAATATTACTGGCATCACCAACATGCACTCAGGATAAACTGCAGTAACAAATGGGGGAAACTGGCATTTTGAACATAAGCTCTATTAAATCAAAGCAAAATGGAGGATCATAGAATGCTTGGTGTGGGCAGGTTTCAATAGTGGACTCCAAATTAAAGTTGTATCAGTTTGTCGTAGCTCCCAGTTCAAACAGTACAAACCTTTATGACTGTTTTAAGAGCTTGTGCCACTTCAGGGGAGAAAAAGTATGCAATACCCAGGTATGACATGTTTGGAGTAGCCAGGTAGCTCTCCACAGAGAAGTGCACATCACCATTGAAGTCTGCCCTTGGAATAAATTGAAGCTCTGTCTTCGCTGCAGAAGAATCCTTACGTGCTCCTCCCTTGAATTTTATTTTCTCTGTAAAATATAATCAAGTAGAAAAATACATTCATTAGACACTTAGATGAACTTAATTACATCCAAAACAAATTATCTTTGGCTAATTGTAATGCTGCCCCAGTGACTTTCATACCTGATGTATCCTTTATTCGCAGCCCAAGTTTCAGAGTGCTGATCTCTTCCAGTAAATCAACGTAAAGTTCATACATTTGCCGATTGACATTTCCCGAGATAGAATCAGGAATGTGATTATCTGAATCCACTTTTGGGGAACTATCGTACAGCTGATCCCAAACCTAAAAGAAATTCACCAATGAAAATGATTAAACTACTGGCAGGAATTCCTTAACTAAAAAATCCCTGATCAATATACTTAGTCAACAGTAGAATTTGATCATTTAATAAAAGGATATATAATTTTCATTTCCTAGTTAAAAAATATTGGTTCAAAACAGAAGCACCAAATGTTCAAATTAAGTTTGAAGAAACATCCAGTTTTTGGTGCAAGTTACATGTGTTTTGTAAACTGAATAATAATACATATCATCTCATTTTGTATAAAATTAAAAAATTACTTGTCACCCATTGAAAATTAAAATATCTTAATTATCTGCTAATTAGTCATCAGTTTAGTTTCTGACCAGTGTATGTGTGAGATACAGTGTGTGTCTGAAAGTAGAAAATGTCCCTGTTACAATGTGGTTTTATTTAGGGCCTGTTAATTTCATACCGGTACTCTGCAAACAAGTATGACCTTTCAAAAAGTAGCTCTTGGGCTGTACAACAATGCAATTCTTATTCAAATTACTTTAAAACCATTTTTTTCACACTAACTGGATAGAAGGTCATTATGTATGGAACAGATTAAACTTACCTCAAAATACTCATCACCCTTACTATCCTCAGCCACCGAAAAAGTGGAGCCATTGTAAATAATTTTAGGTGGTATTAGTGATGGCAGTTCAAAAATAGCAATTGTCTGGCCATAATTCCAAGTAAGAGAAGATGCATCTACATATTTTCCAATTTTGCTTTCATCACTATAGGTTGTGAAATTCACTAACACAATGCCATGTGATCCATTCTTGGAAGATGCAAATCTAGCAATGAAAAAAAGTTAGTTAAGTTCCAACATTTCTAAAAAAAATTCCTTTTGGGATTTCTTTTCCTTTTAGAATATTTTGATCAGTTAAGAATTCTCTATTTTTTGTCTTGAAGTCCAGGAAACTACAGGCAGTCAACACAAAACTTGAAATTGTACCCCACTTAATCAACTCAATACATGTAAACACCTTATTATCATAGTATCACACTACATTGAATCCAGCGGAATACCAATTTTAAACACAATAAAGTAAGGTTTGTACAGTCATTTTTTTGAATTTAGGCAAACTTGCACGGTATGTCTTTTCAAGCTGTGGAAAAACTGGGTCAGAAAGATTTCCCTGAAAAACTAGCTCCAACTTAAATAAAATACTTATTGCTAGTCTGACAAATTTCATGGAATTTCACTGAAGGCAATGAGGAAAATTCACTGTCAGTTTTGCTTTTGGCAGTCATGTTAACGTCTTAAAATATGGAAAAACACTGACGTTTTCCTTTGAGTGCATGCAGATTACTAAAGCTTTCATCCCTCGTGTGCAGGCATTCGTAAAACTATAGTGAGCCACTTTAATAAGGAAAACATTATACTCAAAGTCAGACCATGTACATGTACCTCCTGTATCATGTTACCTTAGGTAGCTTGATAGACCTAACACCAATGCATTAGATCGAGAGAGACCTTGAACAGTTGTCCACTTTGAACTTCCATAAAACTCTAATGATCCATCAACCCCATGCATCTCAACACTCTGAAGTGCTACAGTAACATCACCATCTTTAAAAATTCCCTTGCTTAAATTGGCACCAAGAGGAAGATACTTCCATACAGTGGGAAATGTCACATTAGCAACAGGAGGTAGACAATCTGATGGTTTACTACAGTCACCAGTATGTTTGCAATGTTCTTCTCCTAACATAAGACAACAAAATGATTAGGGGTTGTTTGCATCATTGTGGAGGTGCAGTGGCCTCATGGTTAGTGGGTTTGACTCTAGATTTGAGCAGTCTGGGTTTGAGCCTTGCCTCAGGACAATGTGTTGTGTTCTCAGGCAAGACACTTCACTCTCACAGTGCCTCTCTCCACCCAGGTGTATTTAAATGGATAGTGGTGAATTTAATTCTGGGGGTGATCCTGCAATGATCTAATATCCCATCCAGGGATCCCAGTCAGATCTCCACATGGGATTCGACTAGTCGTATTCATGCTACTAGTCACTAAATGCTAATGAAACGGAGATAAGCACAGGCCTGATGGGTCACTTGGCTTGCATGCAGACTTTATCTTTCATGGCAATTTGCCTACAATATTGCCATTTTAATGCATAATTGTTCCACTGTTATCTTAAAATTCAGCATCATTGGCCTCAGATTGACAAGTCTGCTTTTTATCACCACCATAAAATCCTGTTATCTAGAATGGTTTACTGGGAAATAGGTCATGTAGCCTCTCAATGCAGAGGATTAAATCAGTTGTACATCTCGTGTAACATACCTGTTGGACAACACATCGTTCCATTTGGTAAGCACTCTCCAGTTTTATTACAAAGGACTTTTCCTAAGGGACAGCACGTCTCATCTACAGATATACAGAACTTATCATTGCAGAGTTTTTCCCCTTTAGGACAGCTCCTGCAAGAATTTGAGATTTTCAATAAACAGTACATTGTGGCAATGCAATAAAAAAATGTATTGTGGTGACCATAGATAGACTTATGTCTGATAAACTAATTTTTACAAATTTTAAAACTACTGACAGACAAATCTTTAAATAACATCATTCTCCATAATATATGATATCATGTCAATTGGCCCAAAGCTGTTCTCAATTTTCACCAACTTTATAGTTTACTCAGGGCTTGACCACTTTGCCAACTACTGGGTGAAAGAAGCTCATGGTCTACAGTGATATTACTGTTAAATAGACATTTCGAAACAAGATGAAATGAATGTACTTTGAAAAGATAGTAAGAGAAAATTGACTGCAGTAGCCTACGACCAGCATACTGTGTCTGTCTGTATTTGTTCCAGTAACAATGGTGTTTGTAAAACCTTTGACTAATAAATTAGGTATAAAAGACTGCTTTTCAAAAGGACTTGATCACATGCTTTTCTTATTGTTTAAAACAGAGAATGTCAAATGAGTTAAAAAGTAAAATTTTGCTTGCCAGACAGTACATGTACATCTAGAACTTTTTTTCTTTTACTTACCCAAAAGAGGGTCAGTAGGGAAACTGAAAACAAAACAGTATAATAGGAACGGCCTGACACAGTAAGATGTTTTTCCATTTCTGGTGTACAAAACTCTACCTCAGCAATTGATCAAAAAGGTAATAATTATATCATGTAGAGAGAACCTTTGATTGATTAGTACATTTGTTACTTACGAGTTACACTTGTGCATGTCATGTTCACACTGAATCACTGCACGGGCAACATTTGGACAAACTAGATTTCTGATCTGGCACATATGCGCCCAGCCTAAAGGCAAATTAAGAAATCATGGGTCTTGAATCATTGATAACAAAAGAATGTCATTTACCACCTCTAAACAGAGTTCCTACTATTGTGAACAGCTTATGTAATCACTACCAACAGAATCCTCTTTGCAAACTGTTTCTGGGATTCTAAAATAGTTACATAGTAAATTCACTTCATAATTACTGCTAATTCCAACTTTGTAAATGCTACTTTAAAAAACACTCTTTTCAATTGATAGGGGCCATCCAAAACCTCCCTATGCACTTTGGTTTGTGAATGCAAGATGACCTACACAGCACTTATTAATAACATTTCAGGTTTCGACTTGAGCTATTTTCACTTTTCCAAAATCATTTCCAGAAACAAAACAAGGGCTCCCAAAGACAGATTCCTTTTCTTAATAATAGTAACTTTTACACCATGTAAAAAGGCCCTTCCTAAATATAGTGCTGTCATAGAAAACAATTCTTCAATGCACAGGAGTAGCATCAAATGGAGGGTGAGTCATTTCAACCTCAATGTTCCTGTCAGTGGTACAGTGCCATTTGATTTGCAACTTAAAATCATGTAAGCCTGCAAAATCCAGATTTTGCTCAATATTTACCGACATTCGCTCTTTTTAAGTTAATTCTGGAGGTTCAAAACTCTCACAAGTAAACCAATGTATCATTCTTACCAAAGGTGTCATCATCCAATGCCTTGCTGAAGTTCAATGCTGGGAAGGGATCACAGTCTGTCTTATTCCTACATGATGCACTGTATGGACAGAAAGCCTGATGATGAGTACATACGTGTTCCTTGCCACCTAGTGAAGGACCTTTAGATTCACATGTCATAGTTTCAAATGAGAAGGTCTCATTTAAGCCACAAGCCATATCAAAATCCAGCTCATCACTTGTATTGCCAGAATTAATCCACTGGTGTACACGGTGGTAGGAGCAATTTTCAGTGACACTTATGCATTGCATGAATAATGGACAGAAGTACTCGTTGGAAGAGCAATTGACACACCAGGCAGTATTGCTTAAGTTGCGCATCATGTCATTCGTAAGATGTATGGTGCAATCCTCGTCATCTGGAATACATTTAAGCTTCAAGCCACAGAACTTTTCGCCATGCTTGCAATCAGTGTTGTTCTTTATATAATGTAACCACCATTCCATCCTTTCACTGATGTTATAAGATGACCACCATGGTTGACCACTGTGAGCAAAACTACTCATAAGAACATGGCTATGGGCACTAGGGCTGATTGTGGCTATCATGCTGCCGAATGCTGAAGTTACTATAGAAGGCCATGTCATAGACACGACACCAGCAGAAGCAGAGGCAACGACACCAGAAACAGAGCCAACAGACCCGGCAGAAGATGAGCCCACAACACCAGAAACAGAGCCAAGGGATCCGGCAGAGGTTGACCCCACAACACCAGAAACAGAGCCAACAGACCCGGCAGAAGCTGAACCCACAACACCAGAAACAGAGCCAATGGACCCAGCAGAAGCTGAGCCCACGACACCAGAAACAGAGCCAACAGACCCAGCAGAAGCTGAACCTGGGACACCAGAAACAGAGCCAACCGAACCAGCAGAAGCTGAGCCTGCAACACCAGAAACAGAGCCAACAGACCCAGCAGAAGCTGAGCCTGAGACAACAGACACAGAGCCAACAGACCCAGCAGAAGCTGAGCCCGAGACGCCCGAAACAGAGCCAATGGACCCAGCAGAAGCCGAGCCTGCGACACCAGAAACAGAGCCAACCGAACCAGCAGAAGCTGAGCCTGCGACACCAGAAACAGAGCCAACCGAACCAGCAGAAGCTGAGCCTGCGACACCAGAAACAGAGCCAACAGACCCAGCAGAAGCTGAGCCTGAGACATCAGAAACAGAGCCAACAGACCCAGCAGAAGCTGAGCCTGAGACACCAGAAACAGAGCCAATGGACCCAGCAGAAGCCAAGCCTGCGACACCAGAAACAGAGCCACCAGAAGTGATGATAACTCCACTTTGTGTCATACTAATGGCGATAGTGTTGGTGAGGGGTGCTGTCATCATGTGACTGGAAAACGGTGTTCCAATGCTCATAATATTTTCTTTAATTTCATGCCCTAAAGCGGGACAGATGCGTGAAAATCCCTTGCAAATCTTTTGAAATAAGTCCACGCTTTCACAGAACGTCTGCACATGGGAACAACAGTCGAAACTGAAATAAATTTAAAATATTAATTGTTGGACATGAAACAAATTTTTTTTCTTCCCTTTTGGTGGTCTGTTTCTATATGGGGTTTTGACTCCTTTGACTCCCCTGGAATTAAAGAGTAAGTTTATACGACAGTTTGAATTTTAGGAAAATTTAGAAGATTTGTATGGAAAATGTTGCTGGAGAGCAAGGCCTTGCTCTCCAACAACTTTTTCCATACAAATCTTCTTATTCTTTTAAAAATTCAGACCGTCATAAAATCTCATTCTTTAATGATGGGGGTCTCAAACTTGGCCATTTTKATATTTYCGACATGCTTTTTCCATTTCTGGCATTCGTTAAGTTATAGCCCATAATTTTATGAAAAATAGGTCACGTGATGGCTTAGCTGCAAAGGGCCTATTATAAATTCATGTGTCTGTCCGCTTATTGACAATGAAAATTAGCCAATGAGCGTGCGAGAATTTTCTGCAGTTATCGTAAAATTTCACAAATAAATAATTAAATAGCTAAACTTACTAACATTACACTCCAGTTTTAGAAACTACGAGAAAACAACGTACCAAGTTTCATTCTTCGGTTGACAAGAACTTGTTGCATCACAGTAAGTCTGCAAGTAAGAGAAATTCCAGTCAGCCGACAAAAACCGCAAAATTAAAATCTTGAGTAAGAGTGAAAAATGTGTGCTCGTTATCTCGCGTTCTTCTATCTCCTCCCATTTCAGCGAACGTGAATTGCGATCTCAACCGACATTTTATCCCATTTGGGTGAAAGTTTGCGACTATGCCACATTTCAAAGAAAGTTTGCGAATATGAAATAAATGTAAGCAGAAGCATATCACCTTTAGGTGATGTGCTTCTGATGTAAGTGATAAGATTTTTCCTATCTACTATCCTCGACGTGTCCGCCATCTTAATTTTCAGCGCCTGAAAGGCCCTGGAGACGATTTCGCCCCATTTTGTTCGCTACCAACTCGTGACGGCGCGGGAATTGGAACCGGAAAAGGGTGCCGGTGAAGCAGCATTCCTCAAATATTAAATATTGCAAAGTGCGTGATTGTGGACAGGGTGTCCATGAAGGGAAAAAAAGGAAAATAGTCACATACAAAACGCAGAAACATCCATACTTGATGGACTGCTTGACTATGACCGCCCCAAAGTCGAATTAGCCTGTATTCAGACACCCACTCTCCTCGAAAACAAGTTGAGGGCGGCTGTACACCGGGCTAAAGATCCCGATTTAGACGTTGAACTGATGTCTCGCTGGTATTTAAGATGCATAAATATTGTACTCATAGAACTGTCTTGTCGTTTTAATACATCAAAGATACGTTTGAGTGAGCAGGATTGCAAGGCTCTTTGAGGGCCACACGGCCAACTAATGACGCAATAGACCGATTTCGATATATTAAAATTCAGCCTAAAACAATAGACCTCAGTACGAGGCTCTGGGGAATAAACCCCACAAACTCTGTAGTTATTCCCCAGAGCCTCGTGCTGAGGTCTATTGTTTTAGCCTGAGTTTTGATATACCGAAATTGGTCTATTAGCGCGTAATCCTTTATTTACGCTTACATCAGGCCCATAACAAAACCCAGCCAGATGGTGCAGTAACTTCAATCTCGTAATTTTTTGAGTTCCCTGTTTGTCGGAGACTCGCTTTTCGTCTTCCGACCAGACACAACTTTCACTCTGATACAGTATCAAAGTTACAAAAGAATCAGTGGATTACTAAAACTTTAATAAGAAGAAATACAGTAATAGCCCACGTATAAGAACCTGGGTTTTAAGAACCTGTTAGGCTAAAATTTTCATTTTAAGCCCCCTCCACATAAGAACCTATTAACGCTAACATTTTAAGTTAGGTTCTTATCAGTGGGGTTGCTGTAAAAGTGTATAGGTAGAAACTACTGAATTAAGATCATCATCTATTTTAAAGTAACTTGACATAACTTTTTTTTTTTCTTTCAAGCTTAAGTACCATGTTGTATGTCTATTGTGTTTGCCATCCAAATAATTCCCCAAGTATTTGCAAGTACTGTACTCTACTACAATATCAAAGAAAACTTTCTGACCATCTCCAACTCTGTGAGAATCACAAAATATTAAATGTAAAATATCAAAATATATCCCAATGAAATAAAAAACTGCAAAATATCAAAACAACGTAAGCTCCCAATGGGCAATGCCTCAGCTTCTCAACATGAGTTTCTTTGTTATGTTTTGTTAACGACATATACTGTACCTGCACTGAACGGCCTGTAGGTATTGCTCTATGGTACAAATAAATGATTTACACTGTATTATGAGATGGTATTTATAATATATATAGTGTATTCAGATGAAATTCATATGAAAATATAAGAACCTATTTTAAGAACCTTGGTAGTCTAAATATGCTTTAAGTACCATTTATATAAGAACCTATTTAGGCTAAACTGAAAAATTCAGGTTCTTATACGTGGGCTATTACTGTAATAAATAGCACGTTAAAATAATACTGTATTAAGCTGATATTTTGGGCAGTACCGTCGTTTAAAATCTCGTTTTGAAGAATTGAAAATCTTGTTATTCAACCCAGGTCGAATAAGCCGATTACTCGGCACCAGTTATCACAGAGAAGCTTTTTGTTTTCTTTGCGGCTCCGCTCAGTTCTTAGTTCGATCGAGTTCAAGTCTCAGTGTTCCATGAATCGACTGGCCAAACTCGTAAGCTGCCTGCGCGGACTTATGTTCATGTAAACCATGTTCTCTAAATTTAACTACTCATGGTCATCGATGTCCCAACTAACTGAATTCCTTATTTCACGAAAAATTCTCCATTAAATTTGAGTTAAAACCAGTTTACCCTGGCAATATGAAAAGTGGACACTAAGCAAGTTCACGGCTTTTAAACTGAAATCTAATCTATATTGATTACTTGCATTTCTGATTTAAACCTGGAAAATCGTGTTTACTCGCGAAATCGTACTTGTTTTCCTTTAATTCAATTGGCATCCACGGTCAAATGCTACAGAGGTGCTTTCACAAGAGTGTTTGAAGCAAACGTATGAAATAGGCATGTAAATAGGACTGTTTGCCGGTCTTAGAGCAAAAGTAACTAAGCGAATTACCAACTAAGCCTGACTCGTAAGTACACAATAAAATAAAACCTACGACAGTTAACGTGTCAACAACCAAACAAGACGAGTCGTAAGAAATTAAAGTAAGCTCGAAGGTTTGTCTTATCATGTTAGACTTAAAGTGGTCCTACAGAACCGAGCAGATAAGGCTAAAATTCGATTTAGCCAAAACATCATACTACATGTCCAGGCGAACTATTCCTTGACTGACTGACTGATTCATGCTGCAAGTCTTTCAGGTAGATTATTCGAAATTACGAAACCATGTTTTACCTACGTAAAGAGAATCGAGAACAACTACTAGAACTCCGCGACTCTTCCTTGAGTCAAGCCAAACTCAACTACATAGCTTCCGTAGACTGTTATGCAACTGAGAAGCTTTTATGCAGGTACCCGGCGTACAAGAAAGAAAATAATACAGACTCCATCCTTGTAATGCATAGCTGCTGTTTGCTGATTTAAGAAGGAGGAGGTACAAAGTAAAGTACCGAGTTTTGGTTAAGGTTTGAGTTTGTAGAAGCGGCGCACAACAGTCGGTGCTTAATACCATACAAGTGAAGCCGAGTTGGGTACCATCTGCCACTAAGAGTTTCATCTTCGCCGCTGTTTGGGCGGATCTCAGAAAAAGATTTTAGACGCACCTCTTGCACTCAGAAAAGTAATGAACAAAATATGCTTATGGTTAAAGAAACTGTATATCTCAAAAAAGCACTTGCCTGGTTTGCTGCGGGGCATGAATCGGCGCTGACAATTGTCATGGCCACGCTTGTTACGATCACCGTCAGCACTAAAGCACAAAGAAAAACACGGTTACTGGAAAATGAGGGAAGAAACCATAACAGTAAGGCGGGAGCAAACACACAGAAGGTTGTTCTAACCTATCTTCTCCCAAAATCGTGTCATGTTTCTTAATGTATCTATTTTTCGTGTATTT